ACCGGGGGGGGAGGGCGGAGCCTAAATTGCAACCCTGGCACGGTTTTGCCGCACGGTTTTTCTCGGCTCCGCCCACTTTCCCCGGTTTTTTTTCCCCGATTTTTTTTCCCCGGAATTTGCGGGGTCTCAGAAAATTTTGAATAAAAACCTTCTCAGCATCGGAAATCGTTTATTAAGGTGAAATAACAAATCGATAAAGCATATATGACATGAAAATGTACATTAAAAAAATTGCTTGTCAAATCGACAATACATAGAAAATCATGGCAAGAGTGCCGACTCGTGAATGGGAAAGGGAAACATATCAGTATGACCATGGAAGTGATTATTGAAATATGAACCCGTAGTAGTATTAGAAGAGAGAGATTCTCAACAAAAATGGAGTTTTGTTTTGATTTTTTTTCTTTTTTGTAAAATCAGAATATACATTCAAAATGAAAGCCTAAATTTAAATTTCTTTCTATTTACTAAATCTAAACCTTATTATTGGATGATGACAAAATATCCTTGAATGGCTTGATCTTCTTCGTAGCATAGAGAGCGAACAGCATGGAAATCCTGGTTTCCTTATTCAGACTCGTCAAGTTTTGTTTTGAATCCACGACGGTGCTGCAGACTCCGGACCCTTCTTCTTCGTCAATTTCATTGGAAGCAGCTTTTTCTCCAACATCCATACGAAGACGTACACGGAATGAGGACACAATGAGGACAATGATGAGTTGGATTCCAAAGATGTAGAGGAAGATTCGCCATCCGAAGACGCTGATGAGGAAAGCCAGTGGACTTCCAGCAAGCATGGAACCAGCTGAAAATTGGAAATTAGAAATTTTAGAAATTTTAATAATTCTTTTCTCGAAATTTTGCTCATAAACACCTCTGGAGGAGTTGAACTTGTGGGTCTACCGCTAGAGCTACAGCGCAATGCGTCACTACCGACTGAGCCACGCGGGCGAATTTAAGAGAGAGAGAGAGAGAGTCTCAATGCATATATAAGAGCTGGCATAACACAGAGTGAACATTGAGCATCAGATAAAAACTTACAGCTAGCAATGAAAGAAATGAAGGCGCTCACTGTTCCTTGAATGTTCTTGAATCCAGCTTGAGATGCAATCATACACCAGACATTGATCGATCCGTTCACAAACATTCCAGCCAAGAATCCAAAGATTGAGCTCAACTCAGCGAATTCAAAGATTCCAGCTGCAGAGAACATCATCAGACAAGTATAAGACACAGCGATGACACGTCTAGTAGCATCCACATCGAATTTGCGAGTAGCCAAATCGATCACGATGCCAGAAGCCATGGTTCCAACAAGTCCTCCGATTTCATAGGTGATTTGAAAAGCGTCTGGAGAGATTTTGGAGTCGGTCAGGAAGAGTTGAACCCATGTTTCACAGATTGTTCGCATCTGAAAGTGTGACAAATTTTGATTGTTGGAATTTTAGAATTTTAGGATTTTAGAATTTTAGAATTTTAGAATTTTTGAGTTTTTGAATTTTTGAATTTCTGAGTTTTCAAATTTTCGAGTCTCGATTTTTCAAAAATTCGAAAAATTCTGAAATTCTGGAATTCTAAAATTCTAAAATTCGAAAATTTGAAAGTGCTAAAATTCAAAAGTTGAAAAATTGGAAATTTAGAAAATCCTGAAATTATAAAATTCCAAAATTCTAAAATTCCAAAATTAGTACTTACCTCCATAGTAAAAAGATAGACAAACGAAATATGCCAAATGACCAGGGACCCAACAATCGTTCTCAATCCTCCCTTCTTTTTTGGTTTCTCTGGATTTGGATCTTCCTCTTCTTCTTCCTCTTCCTCTCGCTTCGGGGATACATTATCCTCCCGTAGAGCGAAGTAGCAGACAACCGAGAAGAGAAGCATTCCCGCTCCAGTGTACAATTCCACTTGACGCCAGTAGAATTTCTTAGAGAATGGTTGGAGGATTCCAGCGAAAGTTGAACCACAAGCCAGGATCGAGAACATGGTACCATATGTGGATTTCGAGTACCATGACTGGACAAGAAGAGTCGCTGGAACCCATCCAGCACCTTGAACGATTCCTAGAAGCATCATAGCTATCAGCATTTGCCATAAATGATTCGAGAATGCCAATCCAATGGAGCAAGCAGCACATGTGATGAGTCCAATGAGCAGTAGAGCTACTTTTGAGTATCTATCCGAAGCCATTCCGAATAGAAGGCGTCCAATGGTGTATAAAAGTGCATGAGAGGATACGAGGATGCCTGAAACAGTCCTACGTGATTTGTGTCATCTTTTGTGTCAGCTTGATCATTGAAAATTAGAATTTGATGTTTCCCGGGGGGAGGTCAGGTGACACCAAAATCCCGTTTAGTTTAAATTCAATAATCACATACGGTTGCCATGTAAACATTTTGATGTATCTTTCTCAATCGGACCGTCTGGTAAACAAGTTTTGGAATTTGATCCCAAAAAAGGAGGTTCTAGCATACTCCATATTTTCCTTTAGCATCAATATTTTTGGACCAATTGAATTAGAAGTACTAGAATTTGAGGATACAAAAGTTGTATCTTTTTTTTTTTGGAACCACAGTCGTGACTCTTGGAATCTCCAAATTTTTGAACCTTATTTGCATTACCGTAACTCCAGCACAAAGCTCCCATAAGGCTTTATTGGCCTGCTGCTCTCTTTCGCGCCCGCCGGGCTCAGTTGGTAGTGACGCGGTGTCAAATGAAATCACCCACGAGTTCAATCCCACCCATCGGCTTTCCGCCTAGAAACCTTTTTGACTTCTTTTTGAGTACCCTTCCCCTATCTACGGTATTCCCCTCAAAACTAACCAATATCATCACTTGTCAGCACAATTTCTTCCCTGATCAGCGGCAATAGCGTAATCGGTAACCGTCGAAAATAGATATGAGCAAAGTAGATAATGACGACGAGCACGAATTTGAAATGCGTCTTGAGGGACATGTTTGGAGAGAGATCCGAATATGGAACTGTAGTCAGAAGAATTAAATATAGTAGAAAAAAGAAATATATGAAAGAATTAAATTCAGAAGAAGAGAGAGAGACAGAAATCAGGTTGGTTTAAGGGAGAAAATATATATTTATATAGATACAGATAATCAGAAAATGATACGAAAGATAAGGTGGGTGGAGAGCGAGAAAGAGAAAAGAGACACGTGATCCCCAAATTTCCATATAGAAGCCACGCCCCTTTTGACCTGTTTCAGAATTTTTGAATTCTGAATTCTGGGCCTTCGCTGAACTTTTTTTGGAGGAGAAGAAACAAAAGACGGATGAGAATACAGTTATCATCAGGGAGGATGACCTGGATGAGTTGAAGAGAGAGTATTGGGATGGGTGGAGACACAGAGAAAACAATCAGATGATGATGATGCCTCGATATATCATTGCCATTATATGATATTTAATCTTTCAACTTGCGCAAAATCTTGTTTGCAAGAATTCAATATAAGGCAGAATATACAGAAAAAGGAAGTGTAAATAGGTTGACCTACTAGAAGAGGCACGTAGGTTTTTGTTATGATTTAGGTAAAGATAGTGACCATTACAAAGAAAAAAGAAGCATATTTCTAGAAGAAGGGGTAAATGACCATTACAATGAAAAAAAGTGATAAAAAAGGAAATTGAGGAAAAGAAAGAAAAACGAAAATCCCTTTGACTAGAATCTAAAGAATCTATTTGAAACTTTGGCCTTCGCAAACCGTCAACTTTGAGCCCACACATCTCGGTTCATGTGAAAGATAAAAAAATTGTCAACTGATAAATTGTTTATCTTAATATCCTTAATATTTTATCAGTTGACAGATTTTTGATATATTTTGAAGGAGCCGAGATAATTAAGTTCAAAGTTTATGGCTTGAGTGGGGTTCTGATAAAAGGAGGGGGTGGATAAAGTAAATCAAAGAGTTTCAAAAATTAACAGAAACTTGAAAAGACAAAAATTAGCAATGTACCCAGATCCAGAGAAGCGTCTAGGAACAAATAAAACGATCGAGAAAATGACGGCGTTGATCTACGAACACTCATAAAAACCAACTGGCTTCTGTAGGAGGGGATGGACATTGGATACATGCTAAACGACAAGTTTTTTTTGACAGTGATACCGAAAGTTGGAGGATTTAGGAACGTTTTTATTGATTTTTTTAAATCTTGACAAATTCTATATTGGTTTTCTGGAACTGATAAGGATTAACTGGAAATTCTGGAACTATCCTATTCGTGAACACTCAAATTAACTTTCAGCTCAGTTATCTCGGTTCCTATGAGTGATATCAAAAAGCAATCAACTAATAAATTATTAATGGTTTTATGATAAACCATTTATCAGTTGACAAATTTTTTGTATTTTTCACAGGTATCGAGATAATTTAGCTCAAAGTAAACGGTAGGTATTCTATAAGAGTGTTTGCGGTAACTGGAAGTTCTGGAAAGGGTTTGAACCAAAATGACTCTTAGACAGAAAAAATATAGCAAATTTGAGCTTTTAATGGGACGAATTCTTCGAAAAAAGTATTCATAAGCTTAGAGGTTGTTTTAAAACCCCTGAAAAATTCCTAAGAAACAAAGCAACTTCCAACTACCGTACTTGCTCAAGCCGACCGTATACTCCCACTTTGAGCTTAATTATCTTAGTTCCTTCAAAAGATATCAAAAATGTGTCAACTAATAAAATATTGGTGATATTATGATAAATGATTCATCAGTTGACAACTTTTTGATATCATTTGAAGGAACCGAGTTAATTGAGCTGAAAAATAGGATGGGCTTCTGTAGCTACTCGAGCTTTTGAAGTCGGCAAAAAATCGTTTCTAAATAAGCTAAAGAATGAAAAAAATTGCAAAAGTCGTGTAGATAAAGAAGACAGAAAACTGTCATCATTATCTTATAAAAACGGTTCCTAGCGCCACCCTTATTGAACTTTGATTCCTGTCCGACGGATGCTACAGTCCCTTCTAGTCTCCCTTAACACCATCAAAACAATTTCAAAGTTTTCTTTTCTTTACTTATCTTGACTTTAACATAAACAGTCTAGTTCAATGATCTTCCGGTCCATGATAATTTGTGATGATCCTCAACCAACTGAATTCAGTGAATTCAAATCACCTAACTTATTGCAATCATTCGGGTGATATGATCGTTTAAAAATACATTCGAGAACTACACAAAAAAGCACGTGGTGGTGTAATAAAAACGGATGTGTAAGCAGGTCACATTATCAAGGTTACGTCATCTGAATTTTCAGAAAAAAGGGGAAGGAACCGGTCCTAAAAATGAAACATAGTATCACTGAAAGAGTGATACGTCTGATCTTTCAAGGTCGCTTAAAAATAATATACAGAACTCAATCTGTCAAACATCAGAAAGTAAAACTTGATAGTATCTTTTCGCGGCTTCTTTATAAGAGCACCTAGCAGACAAAAACTAGACCATTTCGGTAAGAAAATGGGTATTTGTTTGGAAGTGATCTTGGACCTGGAGTTGAACAAATACGAAGGAAGGCGACACAATGGGTGCATGGTGTTGCATATTTTTATGTTGGAGAGCAAAAAGAGCAAAGGGGAAAGGAAAGGATTGAAAGCATTTGAAGGAACAGGAGTTTGTTACTTTTTTAAAAGTTTTTGAGGATAGGTTCGAAAAGTTTTCCCTTATCTTTCAAGGATTGATCCGTTTGGAATACAGTACTAACTTTAAACGTAGCTCAAAAATATCTAAAACCTAAATATTTTTATCTAGATCACAGTTAATCAGTTACTTCTGAAAAAGGCTAAATGACTAAATGACGGATGAGGAGGCTCTAACTGGCAAATGACAGCTAGTTGGCTGTCAAAGGAGGACCGACGTACCATCGACGAACGGTCGACGGACCATCCTTACGAAAGATGATGCAATCAAAAAATCTTGAAAGTGAAGAAAAAATGAGAAAAAACCGGAGATCGGCTGTCTTCAGCCGGTATGGTCATTCCAGATGCTTGAGCTCATCTAGGGTATACTCCGAACGTCGGGGCCTGTATTCAGAGGGCGTGTATCCTTCAGAAGATTCTGCTCAGATTCATTTTACATATCCGTCATTGGAAAACCTTCAGAAAACTGGTTCGTTTACAGAAACCTCGTATAAACCGACCTATCTGAATCTGAAAGAAAACGAAAAGCCCTCGAAGGTTCTACTCAAATTTTACACATTTTCAGAAAACGAGATTCCTCCGAGAAACTATTTTTCCTGTCTCATTCATCCCCCTTTTGTACGGTACTTGTCGGATGACGTCCAATTCTGGAAAAACAAATCAAAAATTAATTCGATGCTTTAATTTTGTATGCATGGATTATCATGACTACGAGTAGGTTGGAAGTGACGTGAAATTTGGAAGATGAATGAACTTTCGAATCCTTGTTTTTTGAAAGTCAGAATCAAAAAGTCTACTGACAGATATGCAATGAGTAAACTGTTAGTAAACATCTGACGGGAAAACAATAAGGACGAGTAAACTCCAGAATGATCAATTTAAAGAATCATCGTTGTTTGCGAAACTCTAGTTTCCAGACACAGGTAAAATGCGAACGGATCCGTTGCGAACGCTGAGCGTCCGTAACGGATTGTTCGCGAATCACCTGTGGAGACCAAACCTGAAACTTCATCCCTGATAGTGGCAAAGTTGGTTTGGTTTTACAGTTTCTTCTGTCACGGGGAGTTCATTTAAGTCTTGAATCTTGCTCTAACTACCGTAAATACTCTAATATTTGTCGACCCGCTTTCAATTTGAGCTTAATCATCTCGAGTCTGTGGAAGATATCAAAAGTTGGTAAACTGATAAATCGTCTATCATAATTTCACCAATATTTCCTTTGTTGACCAATTTTTGATATCTTTTATAGAAATTGAGATAATTGAGCTCATAGTTGACGATTTGGGTGGACTACTATTGCTCTATCTAACCACATATGATTTCTGGTGTCCATCACTTTGACCTCAGAAAATATATACGTTCCTGACTTCATAAAATGTACGTGTGTTTTCAGAAACAAACAAAAATTGCATCTTTTCATGCAACCACTTTGTGCATAAATAGGGATTATGAAATCTGTCAGAGTTGGAATTTCAATGATTCGCAAAAAGTGAACTTTCGATACATTTTATACGGGTTGAACAGAGAAGAACATTTTATGGTTCCCAAGAAATTTTAAAGTTAGCAATTTTCTATAGATTTTAGGTGCCAGATGGGATATCGCGAAAACCTGTATTAGTAGGGTCTCCTTCTATATTACTAGGCACTTCAATTAGAGGTGCCTTTCAATTACAGCGAGAATGTCTATTTTTTGTCACAGTAGTTTTCAAAATCATCGTTTCTAAATCAAGCCATCAGCACTCGTTAAAATGCAACATTTTTCAGATACATACCGCAATAATAGAAACCTACAAATACGTAGACTTTGAGCTCAATTATTTCAGTTCCTGTGAGAGATATCCTAAATGCGTCAACTGATAAAAGGTTCGTGATATTATGATAAACAATTTATCAGTTGACAACGTTTTGGTATCTCTGTCAGAAATCGAGATAATTGAGCTGAAAGTGAAAGTATAAAACTGTGTTCTTTTTGAGCATTTACGTTTAGAATCAAAATATCAGTGATTTATCAGGATTACAGTATCAGTCTGTGAATCTTCAAAATGAATATTTCGACAAAGTTCGTAAAAACTAGTCAGGATCACCCAAATGGGATCGAAAAACAATAAATTCACACCCATTTCCTCCCAATCCTTGACCCATTCTCCTTAGTCTCCCCTATCAATAACTCGTTTATCACAACACTTTCTTCGGACACTATATATGCCATCATCTGTATGTGTTGCGCATTCTGTTCAAATGAAATCATTTTCGAGTTCAAACTGTTAGTTCCTCGTCACTTTGAACTTTTGTTTTCCATCGTTTAATCGATTTCCTGTCATGTCCATTTCCGGACCACACCACCATAAGGTATTCCCCCAGAAGGTTCTCCCCAAATCTGAAAATATCAACAAATCAAGGAAGACACTACAATGGTTTGAAGAATACACACATCGATGTGTGATGCCTTTTTTCTTGTGTAATTCTGAATTCAATAAATAAAGGGAAAACAGTTAAACGGACTGATAAGCCAGAAGAAACTTGTGATCTTTTTTTTGGGTATGAAACAGATGTTATTGCCCCGTGAGAAAATACAAAAAAGGAGAAAGGTTCTGCGAATTCGTCGAGTAGGAATATACATAAAATTGATCATTGATTATCACAGGAACAGTATGTACCCAGAAGTTGCGTGTTTATAGCCTGATTCGCGCATAAATCATAATATCAAGGTCTTGGTTTTTTTCATTGGAATGTCTATGCGTAAACAGGGATGTCTGAAAAATGAGAGTTTTCAGGAAAGTGCGAAAAAAACTTTAGAAGATATTCAAGGTGGAGCGTAATTACCCGGACTAAAATTTGTACTAGCATAAAATTTGGGTAAATCGTTGTACTGGGTTCAAATTTGGAGTACAAAAATACAGATAATTCATCAGTAAACTGTTCAAGTTCCACATTATTTGATCAACTTTAAACTGACTTATCGCTTGTCGAAATTGCTTCATCTCATGAAAATCACAACATCGAGACAATCATAACAACACCTAGACTTCAGCAATCGCTTCGAAAATATCAGAAGCTTTGAGTCTACCATACAATTAAATTTCTACCAATTTTAGTGCTTCTAAAATATTTATTTCTAAAGATATGCTAGTTTTTATAAGTTAGGGTATTTGGGCGCCACGCTGCAGGATTCAAGATCACACTTGCCCATTGAGCTGAAATATGTGTTTTTTGTGAACGATATCAACAATTTGTCAACTGATAAAATGTTTGTAATTGTACGGTAAACATTTTATCAGTTGACAGATTTTTGATATCTCTTATGGGAATCAAGATAATTGAGCTAAAAGCAAGGCTGTCAAAAACGAGGCCGGCCGGCCGACCGGACGTCATTTCCGTCATCCTTGCCTTAAAACGAAAATGATCTTGAATTGACTGTCATCACCGGTCAAACTTTTCTTTCATTTTTTGACCTCAAAAAATCAATCAAAGTTCAGTTTGCGAATCATTCAAATTTTCCAATATGACATATTTTTTAATCCATTTTTACGTATACTCAAAGAACAGCGATTATAGAAAAAGACGCAATTTTTGTTTGTTGCTGAAATAACACGTACGTTTTGTGAAGTCAGGAACTGACATGTTTATTTCAGGTCGAATTTGGGGATACTAAGTATACGAGGGTATGTGTAGGTCAGATTATAAGATTCTTTGGTCGCAAGTTGGTCAAGTCTCTGGTCTCCAAAAAAATCATTCCTTGGTGACCAGTAGGTCAAAGACTAGCTCAACGGTTGGGGAACATAATCAAACAAAATCTGCTCCTAGCTTGCCCAATTCCTGCCAAGCCAATTTTTCCAAAAAGAGACAGATTATCGCCTAATTTTCGGCCCACACCTGCGTGGCTCGACTACCTAAAGATTTGGTTTTCTCCCCTACTGCTCATCGTATGCTCCTGTACGCAAGTCATCAAATTTTGAACCCACATCAGTACATTTCTAAATCCTCCTTAAGAGATGAGGCACGTATATAAAGGTACATACATACATATTGTGTTAGATCGATCCTCTCCGAATCTATAGATTTTATCGTCATCGTCGTCGTCGTCGTCGAATTCGTCGAGTAGCCTCTCCAGCAGCAGCGTACACACGGTGGCTTGATTAATAGCCGTGCAATTGGAAAGAAGAGAAAACACGATGTACCCAGAAAAAGAACGGAATCGGAAACAAATCACAAAGATAGATCATGAAGAACAAGATGAGACATGATGGTGAGAGGGTGTTCCGAAATTTACGCAGACAAAAAATGGAGGAAAAAAGGATGGTTGAGGACAAAGATAAAAGAGAAAAGATTAGGTAGATCTCAATTTCATATCAGACTTCATAGCGGATCGGTCGGCTACATTAATCACTGTTGATTCGGTTTCCTGGCGGCATCCTCCGAAGAATTTTTGACGGACATCGGTTTTGAGAATGAATAAGCTGGCGGTATTGGCAACGGGACCCCAGACGAATAGAATTGAGAGAAGATACGTGGCAAGTTTCTGGGATGCAGCTACCATTGGACCAAGGACAGAATAGAAGAATGGAAGTTGCACGAATATTAGAGTTATTATGAACTGAAAATTTTGAATTTTTTGCGGTATACTGTGAAACCTATATTAGAAGGGCCCCCAGCATTGTTATGTTTCAGCTAAATTATCTCAATTCCTATGCAAGGTATCAAAAAATGGTCAACTGACAATCTTTTTTTGATCTTAAACAATTTATCAGTTGACAATTTTTTTTTATAACTTTGACAGGAACCGAGAAAAATTGACTCCAAGTTGAAAGTTAGGGGCACCGTCTATTACAGGTTTTACGGTACATTTCCTTTGAATTTACCTGGGATGTTAGAATCTGATTTGCTCGATTCTGCATTTTCTTCAAATTTTCACTCATATTAAGATTCGAATTGATCTTGGAGTTGATTTTCAAATGACTGAAACTCATAAGGACAACCGAGAAAATGAGGATAAGAAGGTAGGTGAAACTGGAGATGTAGGCAGTGAACTCGGTTTCGATTTTCTGAAATAATCATTGTTCTTATTTTTAGTCGTATGTTTTAAAAGTACATCATAGGATAAAACCAGAAAAACCGTTTCATGACCGACGTAATTCACAGCTATGCCACTTAGAACGATGACATCGTTTATAGTCGTATACGATGAGTAGCACAAAACTCCAGAACTCAAAACAAGTAGAAATATATTGAGAGTGATGATTGAGATGACATGTGGTAGGTGGATTCCTTTTCTGAATATTTGGAAATGACTTAGAATCAGTTGGTTCATTTGGACGCTCAGCTTTTGGGAATAACAAAATTTCCTTCTAATCTGTTATCAGAAACAGCACAAAGCACATAACTCGCTCACCTACAAATTTGCAGATACCGTATGAAGTAGGTAATTGGAGATATAAAAATGAGTTGGGTTAAAAGGATGATAGACAACATGAGGCATAACATGGATAGGAGAAATGGAAGTTGTATTCCAGCATTTACAATCATGAGACCATTGAAATTAGAGTCTGTTTCAATCGCGACGAACATCTGGAAAGTTATAATAACTACGACCTGCCCTCTCAATTTTTTCCTTTCATATTCTGAAAAATATATCAGGTGAGCTCAGCTTTAAGGTTTTCTGGTAAGCTGTTGATCGGGCAACATGAGCAGCTTTTGAACATGTTTGTATATGCCGTAAAATCTTTATTAGAAGAATCCATACAATAGAAGGACCCTCCAAGAGGGGTTTGGAACAATAGAATTTCCGGCCTTTCTAATACAAGTTGTACGGTATATTCTGGTCTAGAAACGGTTGTGCAAAAATGACGATGAAAATCGAGGGATTGTTTCCATTTTTTGATTTTTGATATCTTTTAAGAATTTTAATAATTTGTTCTAAAGTTGCTCAATAATTGCTGAACATATTACAAATTTGGCTAGGTAATATTTGTCATCATTTTGCCCGATTTCTTGCCGATCATTCAAAAACATGAAATTAGATGATTATCACTCTAATATTTCGAGAACACAAAACTCAAAGTTTCAAAATTTCAAAAGATCGATAATTAGAAAACGCAATAGTTTTGAAAGTGTGAAGTTTCAAAGATTCGAAGATTCAAAGAAAGGTCTCAAAATTCAAAAATTCAAAAATTCAAAATATTGAAAATTCTTAACTCACCGGACACGAGATAACAAACATCACACTGAATGCAATATCAATAGTCTTGAAAAAAACATAAGTGACTTTTAGGTAACTCTGAATCATCTTGGAATTCACCAGAATATAAGTAGCAATTAGACTCATCGAAAGGCAAAGCACACACGCCACAATATTGTTCCACCAAGCAAGGCTGGCTGTGGTTGTCGCAACTTCAACCGAAGGTCCATTTAGCTCTCAAAATGAAATGATTAGAAATTTCGAAATTAAAAAAAATATTACTCGCCTGAATCGCTCATTTGAAAAGAATTGAAAGAGCTTACATGACTAATGAGAAATCAGTGGAAGGATTCGAGAGGATTGAGAGTTAAGAGACGAAGAATGTGGGGAGAGCGATAATTATCATAACAGAATTGGCTCCTCCCTTTTCCTCCGTGACGATCTCTGTTGTTAGGGACTCGAAAGGCTTGCTTGTGACACTCGAATCTATAATTATAGGCTTAGACAGCATCATAAATCGCTAGGTCTTTCGGGAATTCGTTTTCTATTTTAGAACTTTATTTTTAAAATTTTATTTCTCGAGCACTTACATTTTCATTTATTTCAGTTTTCGTTGGCAAATGATCGACGAGCATCCGAAGTGGCCGTTAACCGTTGTTTACCGACCAGGGCATTTCGAATTTCGAAATTTAAGATGAATATGAAAAGAGTGTTGATAGCGGGTGACCAGGAGAATAGAAGGGGTAGAAGATCAGTGAGAAGGCCTTGAGATAGGCCGACGATTGGGCCGAGGACTGAGTAGTAGAAGGGCACTTGGATGAAGATTAGTGGGCAGAAAAACTGAATAATGATTAGCTTCATGACATTTTCAGATAGCAAAATGACGGAATCAGATTTTTTGGATTTGATTTTCCAGCACTATCGTTTTGGGATACCGTATTTCCTCTAATAGAAGCCCACCTGAATTTTCAACTTTGAGCTCATTTATCTCGAAAAAAAACAGTGTGTCAACAGATTAATTAATTATCATAATACCACCAGCATTTTATCAGTTGACTAATGTTTGATACCTCTCACAGGGAATGAGATAAATGGGTTCAAAGTTAACGGTTTGGGTAGGCTTCTTTTTTAAAGGAACTACGGTAAATCCACGAATTTTTTATCTTTAAAATTTTTGGCTTACTCGAAATTTTGAATTTTTCCAATTTCGAAACTTTGAAATTTTGAAGATTTGAATTTTCAAGTGCTTGAATTTTCGAATTTTCGAGTTTTGAGATTTTGAAATTTTCAATCTTTGAAAATTTGAAACTTTGCAATTTGAAATTTCAACATTAAAACTTTGAGACTCTGAATTTTCGAAATTTTGAAACTTTGATACTTTGAAACTTAGAATGAAAACACTTGAAAATTAAAAGAGTTTCGAAGTTTCAAAATTTCAAATTTTGAAAGTTTGAAATCTTGAAATCCAAATCTAGATAATTAGAATCTAAATGATATCACAGGACTATTTTAAGAAAACTGGTGCTAAAAATAATAAAAAACACATACATACCTGCGTCAAAAGCACCCTATTCATTTTCTTCTGCAACACCAATAAATTGTTACTTGTGTTCTTTGTTTCTCGAACTTTCATATTGATCTTGATACTGCAAAAAATCATAATGACAACTGACAAGATTAGACTGGCGAGGTAGCCAAATGCAGAAATGATTGACACAATTTGACTGATTTTTTCTGGTGTTGTGAGTATTTTCTTCTGAAATTAAGTTTAGTTTTTTTGGGGAATATCAAAAAAGGCTTTACTGAGTAGGATAATAGGAGAAATGCGGTTTCAACACCAGTAAAATTCATGGTAACACTTCCAAAAAATCCGATGTCATCATCGGTTGGAACAGATGCATAGCACAGACAAACAGATGTAAAAAGTTGGAAAGTTAAATTGATAAAAATGATAAGGCAGATGTCAGTACATTTTACACCGTCTTTTCTGAAAAAAATCCTACGAGTGCACTATGAGCTCAATTATCTCTGTACTTATGAGAGATAACAAAAATTTGTCAACTGATTAATTTTGGTGTTATTATGATAAATAATTTATCAGTTGACCGATTTTTGATATCTTTTATAGGAACCGAGATGATTTGGCTCAAAAACCAAAAAATAGGCCCCTTCTATTAGAGTTTCATGGTATAAATGAGGGCATCCAATACTTGCACTTTAAACTCAAACTATCTGGGTTAGTTTAAAAGATAACAGAACATTTTTAACTGATTGAATGTTTATCAAAATATCACCAATATTTTATCAGTTGACACATTTTTGGTATCTTTTATAGGAAACGAGATAATTGAGATAAAAGTGCACGTTGTTCCTCACATACCTGCAAACTTGAGCATATCTGAAAAAATAGAGCCAAGGAGCCAAAAGAATTTGTTGTGTCAGGAGAACCAATGCAGCTGATAGAAAAAGAATGCTACACATGAAATTGAATTGCCATCCGGTGTTCACAATCATAAGCGCAGAAAACGAGGGTTTAATGTGAATAGATGTGAAAACCTGAGGCGCGGTCTTTAAAAAATCTGATGGACCATAACTTACCGGTGCCGTCATTATGTAACTAGCACTGAACAAAATCTCAAAGCATTTAGACAATCCCATCACTTTTTTGAATAGTTTTGAAGCAGAGAAACCGCGTTTAGCGATAATAAACACCAGTAAAAAGTTGAGTGTCAAACTCAAGAGTCCGGCAATTAAGTCATTGTAGAAATGATATCTGGCTATCACCGGAGCTAGTTCGGCTGGTGGACCAATTTGATCCGAGCTTTGGTTGTCAGGAGGAGCTGAAGAAGTTGACACCATTTTTAGAAGACTTTTTAAGAATAGAAGAAAGGGTTTTTGGTTAGGTGTCACATGGGAAAATTGGGTTTTGCTTATTAGTTTAGTTAAGGATATTGCGTGGGCTATTGCTTGATTCATGTGGACACATCGTTCCAAAGGGCTTGGTCAGAAATCGCGCATCAGGTAACTCGCAAGACGAAATTTCATAATTTCAAAGAATGTGATTTGGACCTGTATCCGATTTTTTCAAATCTCCCATTCGACGGGGGGCCATTTCTGACCAAGCTTTTTGGACCGATGTGTGTGGAATAATTTTTCTCAACCAGACAAAAAAAAATTCATACCATTTTTTTTAACATAGCGGAAAACCTGCATTAGAAGGCCCCTTTAATAAGAAGGTCCCTCTAGTAGAAGGGCTCTCCTCAAGGGGTTTGGAAAAATATAAATTTTTCGAGAGTTTCATAATTTAATACATATTTGTTGAAATATTTTTTTAAAAAACTTGTTCAATGTTGGTGAAATTGATAGATTTTCATGATATTTGAACGAAAATTTGTCAAATTTATTGATAAAAATTTTTAATACAGGTGTTACGGGCCCAGTATCCAAGGGTACATCGAAAAAGGGTACATCGAGTTCTTAGGGTACATTGGTTCCAAGGGTACATTGGATTGTTCGGTACATGTAGGTGGACAAAAAAAGTCAATCAATA